GTGAAAGCACACACGAATCCCATCAAGGCCCAAGGGAAGGTCTTCCATCGTTCCCCAACCTGCAGGGATCTGAAGTCCCCTTGGTCTCCACCCAGGAAAGGCCTGATGGGACCAAGTGTCCAACACCTGGGCCGTGAGAAGCAAGCGCCTAAGTAGAGGCAAAGGGGAAGCCGGGGGTACAACTGCAGCCGGGTGAGGACAGAGGCCAAGGAAGGGAGAGTTGCGCGCTCTCTGATGCAACTGACGTGATGGACGTGTTAGGTGGCCTGGCGTTGCAGCGGGCAGGGAGGGTAGCCGCAGAGCAGGAGCCCCATCTGGGGCCTCTCCTCCATCTGGGTGACACCTGCTGCCCTTCCGATGCTCCAGGCGGTGATGCAACCCACAAGAGATGACAGTACCAAGTGTCACAGGGCTCCTCTGAGCCGGTCCTGGGTTGGAGGCCCCGTTGGAACCCTGTAGGGAGAGCCAGGCAGCCTCAGCCACAGCTCATGAGAAACTGAGGGTCCTCATTCCCCAGAGGACAAGAGGAATTCAAGTTTCCTGGGAGGAGAAAGCAGCGGGCACATGCCTGCTGGCTCTAGCTGGGTCACTTCCTGAGTAAAACCAGACTCTCCAGAACAGCGGGGGGAAGGGATGGCGGTTTGGGCTCTGGGCTGCAGTTTGGCCAAAGTGAAATCTTGAGCTCTGGCCTCTCCTCTGAGGTGAGGCGATTCCACACGGGTCATGCAGTGCAGCCCAGGGTGAGAGGGACAGAAGTGGGGGCCACAGCGGGGACACATGTCCTCAAAGTTCTGCTGGATATGTTGCATACGAAAACATTCCTTGCCTTCCTAATGCACCCCTATAGGAGCCTAGATAGCAAGTGAAGGAGCTGCTCTGTGATAATTACTCATGGATCTATAACTAATAAATGCATGAAAGAAATGTTCAGCCTCACTAGTGATCAAGGGAAACGTAAATCAAATCAAAGACAGAATCTCCACCTACCAAATGGAATTGTTTTGAGAGGGGGCCTTCTGTTCTGCACCCTGATGGGAGTGCACATTGGCTTTCTGGAAAATCACTTGGTAGCAAGTGGTAAGACTTTAAAAAGGATGACTCATGGGGCAGGGATTTAGCTCAGTGGTTCCGCCACAAGCGTAAGGACCGGAGTTTGATCCCTGGTACCACAAAAAAAAAAAAAAAAAGGATGACTAAGTAATTTCACTTCTAGGAAATGATTTTAAAGAAATAACAAGAGATTTGAACTGAGATGATTATAAGCAGGATCACTGTAACAGTGAGAAAAAGAGATGCAACACCCTGTCTCAAAATAACAATTTTTTTTTTTTGGTACCAGGGATCAAACTCGGGTCCTTGTGCTTGCGAGGCAGGTGCCAGAACCACTGAGCTAAATCCCCAGCCCTCAAAATAACAATTTAAAAAGAACCTGTTCAGAGCCGGGGATTTAGCTCAGTGGTTCGGCCGCCTGCCTCGCAAGTGCAAGGTCCCAAGTTCGATCCCTGGTACTAAAAAATAATAAATAAAAAGAGCTGAAGATGTAGCTCAGTGAGAAGGCCCTGGGTTCAATCCCAAGTGCATACTGAGAAAAGAAAAGGAAAGAGGCCATTTCTCTGAGCAATACTCTCAAAAAATGTACATGTCCCTGTTGTGAAATTCTGTGAGGATTTTAAGTTTTAAATTCCTGGGGACTTTTTGCCTCTCGGGGTCTCTTACCAGAAGCCACCCTGGAGAGCTGTTGCTAGAATTCAATAGGACAATGCATGCGAAGTGCTTAGTGGAATTCCTGCTAAATGTGACATGTATATTTTTAAAATAAGGGACAAATCCAAATTTGTGCTATTTTAAAATATTTCAGAAAAACTTGATGAACTGGAACACAAAAATAAACATAGAAGCCAGGTGTGGTGGCAGCACACCTGCGATCCCAGCACTTGGGAGGCTGAGGCAGGAGGATCGCTGTGAGTTCAAGGCCAGGCTGGGCTACATAATGAGTTCAGGGCCAGCCTGAACTACAAAGCAAGACCTTGCCTCAAAAACAAACACAGAAGCAAGATACAAACAATACATGTATGTAGAGAATCTCATTTTCTAATATATACACATATGTACCAATATATGTAAATATTCCAAAAATATTTAACAGATAACCCTCAAAATACTACCAGTCATTAAGCTGTGGATAATGAGTATCTTTTGTTTTCTCCTTTATATTTCAGCTTTTTTTGTTGTTGTTTTTATGGGGTGTTTTTATTTGGTACCAGGGATCAAACTCAGGACCTTGCACTTACGAGGCAGGCATGGTGCCACTGAGCTAAATCTCCTGCCCTACACTTTATTTTAAAGGTTTCTATACTTTTTATAGCTTTCTCTCTTTTTTTCCTTTTTTTTCAGACAGTCCTGCTTTGTAGTTCAAACCAGCTTTGAACTACTCATGTAGATCCTTCTGCTTCAACCTCCTTAGTGCTGGGATTATAGGTGTGCACCACCATGCCAGGCTATACAGTAGTTGCTAGCATCCAGTGTGGGGAGAAGGCAGTGGGGTCAACTGTGACCTCCAGGTGTGAGTGACACCCCCCCACACACCCCAGCACATTGGTGTCAAGTTCCACAGAAAGGTGTCCTGTGAAATATACAGACCAGGGTCGGAGCAGCTCACTGCCTGGGCAGACCTTGCTGGGGTGGCTGGGGGGCCGGGAGTGGTTATCTCCCTTAGGGAAGCAGAGAATGTACAGAAAGCACTTTGCCTGGGGTGCACTGATCCCAGATAGGTACTTGGGGCTTGCTCTAGGCAGAGGAGGCTTCGGGGCACATTCCACGGAAGAATCTCACACTCTACTCCTCCTCCTCCAAACTCTTCTCTCCCCATCCCTTGAACAGGAGTATATTTAGTAACCCTATCTAAAGCCTCTTCTTTCCCTTAATTTGATTAAGGAGCTGTCTGGAAAACGAGGCCTGAGGCGGGGTAGGGGGGCAGGCAGCTGAGCCCCGAAGTGTGATTAGGGAGCTGGATGCCCATCTGGGTGGGTGATGACGGAGTGCGGACAGCACCAGGGCCCTGGCATTTAGCACAGAGGGACGGAACAGTTTATCAGGGAATGCGCTTCTCCTGGAGAAAGAGAACAAAGTCGGGGATCAGGCTGAGAGGATTAACCAAGGAGACAGGGATGTTTGCTAAGGGGGACACTGGCTTCTTTCTGAGTCTCTTCTGCTTTCCTGGAGATTTAGGGTGATCAGAGCCCTCAGATGTTCCCAGAGGCTGCATGTGCTGAACTTTTGCTATGTGATAGGTACTTTCACATAGATCCATTCGTTAATTCTTTTTTTTTTTTTTTTTTGGTTTGTTTTTTGAGACAGGGTCTCACTATGTAGTTCAGGCTGGCCTTGAACTCACCATGGAGCCCAGACTGGCCTTGAACTTGCCTCGGGTCTCAGTCTCCTGGAGTGCTGGGATTAGAGGCGTGTGCCACCATGCCTGGCTAATTTCTTCTTTTTTTTTTTGTACCTGGATGGGGGTGGGAGGGTGGGGGTGGGAACTGAACTCAGGACTTGTGGTTGAGAGGCAGCCGGGTGCCACTGAGCTAAATCCTGGCCCATAACTAATTTATTCTTATAGGCTGGGCGTGGTGGTGCACACCTCTAATCCCAGCACTTGGGAGTATCATTGAGAGTTCAAGGCCAGCCTGAACTACATAGTGAGACTCTGTCTCAAAAAACCTAAATAAATAAATAAACAAACTAATTTATTCTTATAAGTAAATGGTCAAAAGTACACAGCTAGCTGTGAATGCATGGGGAGCTGGGGTTCCAATCTGGTTCTGCTGACTCCATCCCTCTCCCTGGCAAACGTTATCCTCAGGAGAAAACCCTAACAGCCAGCACTGGCCTAACCCCAGGCACCGGCCCCACTTGAATCACCTGGATGGAGCAGGTACTGCTAATAACCCCACTTTCCTGTTGAGGAAGTGGAAGCTCAGAGTCAGCAACTAGGCTGAAGTCACCAACTAAGCTAAAGTCACCGCAGGTAAATGGCAAGAGAGGAGGGGCGTGCAGAGCCAGGGTGGCTAATGAGGCAGCTAATGTGAGAGTTGGGAGCCTCCGTTTCATCTGCGGCTCCTCCATTAGTCTGGTGGCCCTTCAAGGACAGGGACTTTACCTTGTTTACCCTGGGATCCCAGCCCCAAACACAATGCCTGGAACAAAGGGAACATCTGTTGGGAGGACTCGGGCATCTGATAGATTTGGCTAAGCCCATGCCTCTTCTGGGGGCCAACTCTGGAGGATTAAGTGAGATCTATTTGTCTAGGGATTTCCAAGTCTGAAATGTCACGCTCCTGGGCTTCAGAAAAGGCTCCATTGGCACTGGGGATCTCTGCAGGAGGCTCCGGAGGTGACCAGGACCTTGACAACGGGGCTGGCCCAGGGACAGGGCACTGGCTCCCCTTGTGGGGTTGGATTCAGAGCAAAGTGACGACAGGGGGTGTCTGACATATATTTCCCACTGTTTCCTTCCACAAGGAGACCTCAAGGACAGCTCCAAATCTGGGGGCTACAACGGGACAGGAGATGGGGGTAGGTGGGTGAGGAGCTCTTGAGAGCTCAGTGAGGGAAGAAAGTCCATTAGTGCTTGAGTTACTGGGGCCCTGAGGCTCTTGTGGAAATAGATTTGAAAGAATAAAGGGCAGAACTTTGGTGTCTTTTAGAAAAGAGGACTAATTCTCCTCTAGGAAGCGAGCTGAGGCTTCAGCGAGTCTCTCACTGAGCCTAGTGGCCTGCCCTGGCTTTCAGGTGAGGATCCCCACCCCCCCTTGCCCATGAGCAAGGCCACCAAAGGGCAGGGAACAGAAACAGCCACCGAGTTCCTGGGCCAAGTCCAGGGCTTCCTGGCCTGCATTCAGGGAGCTGCAGCTTTTCTCTGCCTCTTGCAACAGTTCTCGGTGTCTTAATGTGAGCTGCTTATTAACCAGAGGAGATCAGGACACAGGGAGGGGAAAGCTTGCGCCCGTTGCCAGTGTGTATAATTCAGAAACCATGTGAGTGAGGCTGACGTGTGCAGCTTGGGTGACAGAGGTGGCCTGGCAGGAGGAACAAGACTCTGGGCCCCATGCTGGCGCATCAGACCATGGGGCCTGTGGCTTTCTGGGCAGCCGAGACAGCCAGGGGTCAACAGAAGAGCCCCCCAGGACCAGGACATCATGAGTAGCTATGAAGGCTGCCTGTGGCATCCCAGGTGGTTTGGGGCCAGGCACTGCATTGACATTCCCAGCAGAGCTGTAAGTGGAGGGGCCCTTTCCATTCGCTAGATACTCCTCTACCATCCTCCTCTGCCAAAGAAACTTTTCCAGAGAAGGCCCTGAATAAAATGCTCAGATCCCGGACATCCTCCCCCTCTTCTCCAGTCAGCTGCTGTTGATTGTCCTGGGCTACAGAAGCCGATGGGCTCCACAGCCAGCTGCCCCTTGGGGTCAAACCAAGGATGTAGGGCAGCCCGGGCCCCACGGTGACTCTTGAGCCCAGGCCCTGGAATGGCAGCTTCCTGCTGCGTCCACTGAAATACGGCTTACCCAGGCTTCAGTTGGGCCACCGTGTCACAGGTCTCAGGTTCCAAGTTGGTACCAGCGGCACAGAGGGGAAACGGCTGGGGAACTGCTCCCATTTGGCCTCTTTCCACATGGAGGGTGGCTAGGGGAGAGAGAGCTGGGCTGGTGCTGGTGCCTTGAACACGACGATATAAACACAGCCCCAGCAGCTGCCTGTGGAGTCCCCAGTGGGAACCAGAGGAGAGGTGCTGTCCTGGCATACCCTGCAACCCAGGCTTTGCAAACAGAAGGGACCGGGTCTCATCTATCACCTTGGAAGCTAAACAACTTCCTCCGATGGCCCCGGGGAGTATAAATCAAGAGGGCCCAAGCTTCTGAGAAACCTGTACACAACTACAGCCCACAGAAACATTTGTCCTCTTATTCTTTCCTCCTGTCCTTTCAGAAAAGGGTGCTATGGAGTCACAGCTGCAGATGGACCTTCAGAAGTTGTTATTCCTCTCTCTCCCTCCCTTTTTAGGAGGTTCTCGCTATGCAGTCCTGGCTGGCCTGGAACTCATGGTGATCCTCCTGCCTCAGCCTCCTGAGTGCTTATGCGTATGGATTACCATGCCCAGCTTGTTATTCAACTTCTCCGAGCCTCGGTCCTCACCTATAAATGGGTTAGTATGTGTACCTCACAGGTTCCCGGTGGGAATTAAAGGCAATAACTTGTTTGTAACATCTGGCTAGTACTTGGTGAACATCAACTGCCACGCCTCATCATTTCAGCAGCTGAAGGCCATTCTCAGGTACAAAGTCGGAAACACAACCGCCCTCTGATTCCAACCCCAGCAAGAAGGCTGTGTGCCAGGGCCTCAATGATTCATAACGTCCAAGCCTCCTTTCTCCTGCTCTCTTTCCTGCCAAGTTGGTGCCAGGCCTGGCTACACTTGGCAACCTCTGTGGCCTCCAGCTTGTTTGAATTCCCTCAGAGAAACCCAATGAGTATTTCCCTGTTGGAGCAAGGCAGACTTGAACATGCTGGGGTGGCAGTGAAACGTCAGAGAGAAATAATCACAAAGGGAGTGTGTTCCAATTCTGAGGAAGCCTGGAGAGCTGTGGTTTGTGCAGAGAGCACCCCCTTTTCAGACAAGCCAGGGAGCTAGCTTCAATTTACATTTTTTCCTCTCGTACATTCATCCATCATTGCACTGTAACATGTGTAACAGATACATCTGGCTCCAACTGAACAGGTAAAGACTCGACAGCTCTTCTGTTTGGAAGCTGTTGAATGTCAAAGCCTTCACTGCCGCGCCCATGTGCGGCCTAGGAATGGGATCTGGGTCAGGGGTAACCCGGAAGGCATGGGGGCTTCTGCCTAATTCAGCAGCACCGGGAAAACTTGGGGCTCGTGGCATGGCAGAGGCACGACGGGGGAGGCAGCTGTGAGTGCACTGACCTTTGTCCTTGTTTGCTCTTTGAGAGGGGGCTGCCAATGCTGCTATGGCTCTCCCCGAGCCTCTGTTGGGTCTGCTGGCTGGTCAAGCATTCTCAGGGACCTGAGGTGACCCGTGCCTGCAGGGTGACAAGCAGAGACCTTCTCAGGCAGTCAAAGGGCACTGGGAGGCCTCTGTCATGACACTTGAGGCGGGTGCGGGCTTCCAGCTCTTCCCCAGCAGAGAGCTTATCATTAACCAGCCACCTAGGGAACAGCTACCACCCCGGGCTCCCCTCTACTGGGACCCCGAAGGGGCTGAAGGAAAATACAAAGACAAGATCCTGAATCAGCTGTGCAGGACCTTGCTCCTTTCATAGCTTGGCTCCCTGCCAAATCCATGGTTGTCCTGAGGAACTCTCTGGTTCCCTGTTTCCACACAAGTAGGGTGAGGCAGACACCCATATGCTGGGGAGGCAGGGACTCTCCTTCTTTGCCACTCTTTTGGGGGTACTGGAGATTGAACCGCGGTCCGCAATGCCAGGATGTGCTCTCCCACTGAGCTCCAGCCCGGCCCCTGCTCTGGCTCTCATGGTAAATCCTCCTGCGTTTGGTCTTTCTTAATTCCCCTGGATGGAGCTGCAGGGTCGCGAGGCAGAAAAAGCCATGTTTCTTGGGAAAAGTTGAAAGCTTCTCTTTCCCACCATAAGCCAGGCCTTGGCTCCCTGCCCCCTTCACCTTATGGAGGCCACCACCTCTGCCAGCTCCCTCCTGGATGGCAGGAGAGCTCTCGAAGGTCAGAGAGAAGCATCCTTCCCTTTCGCAAATAAACAAATCCAGCCCATGTGCTGGAGGACTTAGGGTATATTAATAGCCAGATATTTTGTTTTCCTATTCTGGTGCTTATCCCCATCCACTAGGATGGAAGATAAGAGAACACAAAATGTTCTCCGTCAGCCACCCCTCTCCCTGCCCCCAGGGGAGCCAGGCTACTCTACTTAAAGCCATTGCTGATGTACAAACTCTGAGAAAATAGACCTAAAAGTTTACAATCAGTCTCTCTTGGCTACTGTTGCTGGTCAGCAAAGAAACTCTATATTGTTTAAACCCTCCAGGCAAATGGGTTGCAAGGCAACCTTTAAACAATAGAAAATACCCCAAACTAAAAATAAAGGCAGCAGGGATGGAATGGCTGGTGCTGCTTTGGTGAAGGGACCCCAAAGCCAAAGCAGAGGAAAACGTGGTCAAGTGGGCTGCTCTTCCATCGCATCGGTTTGTGTTTTTTACCCTTTCATTTGAGCTTCCTACAATGAAGGCATACCAGGGCCCTTTTTATTCCTGATTCCCAGTCCTGTCAGTGGTTATCAACCCCTTCTGGGGGGAGGGCGGGGGAAGAGGACCAAAAGGCCTGTAATGCCCTGCTACATACGGCCCTAAGGAAAGTTCTAGGCTAATCCATGTATGGCCCTGACAATTACCCCCCGAGTCCTGAGAAATCCAAACAGGACACGGCCAGGCCCCAGCTAAATCCGAGTCCTTAATCAAAGAAGGCAGGAAGGTCAGAGTTCGGGAGCAGTTGTGAGGATGGAAACAGGCTGCAGTAATGCACTTCGAAGATGAAGGAAGGGGCCAGAAGCCAAGGTATGCAGGCAGCCTCTAGGGGCTGAAAGGCAGATGGATCCTACCCCAGGGACTCTTTTGGGAAGGTAGCCAGGCTGACGCCTCAACTTTTTCCTGCTAAGACCCACTGGGGATTTCTGACCCCCAGAAATGTCAGGTAATACAACTGTGTTGTTTAAGCCATGGAGTTTGTGGTGATTTGTTACATAGCAACAGACTGATAACAAGAAACCAAGGCTCTTTGTAGTGGGCAAGAAGCCACTGTTCATTCTCAGGTGCTTGGTACTTGAGGGCTGGGGCCACATGACCAGGAACCAAGGGGTCACCCTCCACCAGGGACCCTGGCCCCCCCAGCTGTCCTGTTATCAGAGATTGGGCTGCCTCAATTGGTCAAATCCTGGTCAGTAACAAGGCTGCTCTTTTCTGCCTGCCAACAAGACAGGCTGACCAATGCACTGTCCCATGGACAGACGGGAGCAGCCGGGATGTATTTCCTACCATACAATCTGTGGCCCAATGTGGAGATCAGATAGGAAGACTGAGGCCTAACTGGCCTCCTTGGTGAGCACTGAGAAAAGGGAGCGCAAGCGAGCTAACACGCTGTAGGGAAAAGTAAAAACACCTGAGGTGAAGTTGTTTACCTGGAGAAGTACCATGGAGGGAGACAGATGAATCCTGTGGAACTCTAATTGCTCGTGCCTGTGTCTGAATGAATAAAGCCAAAGTGCACCAGTCATTTGGGGCTCTATGTTGAAGGGAGACATAACCGCCCCTCCTCCATCACGATTTTAACTTGTTTCTATGTCTCTTTATTTTTCATCCTCGTCACCCTTGGCCAGGTTTGAGCTCAACTTGTAGGCTGGTTCCTACAGTCCACCCAACCAGTGACTCAGAGATCAGAACTAGAAAGGGAAACCGGAAGACAGAAAAACAAGTCACCTTCCCGCTATACTGCACATAAGAGATTTCAAGTCTCTCTGCTTCTGCAAGCCGGTTTGCTTTTTCTTTGTCTGTTCTCTGATGAAATGTCTCCTGAGGACCTTCACAGGGGAGCCTATGAAATCCTGACTCGAAATCCAGAAAAAAACATGGAATTTCTTAAATTCCCTGCCTCCTAGAAACACAAGTACTTGAAGACCACAGTTTACGCTGTTCTTGGGATGTTTCTAGGAGACATGAGCCATCAGTCCTATTTTATAATTTGAGACCCTGGATGACAGAGTGCAAGCAACATGGACAAAGTCCCACAGCAAGTCTGAGGGATTCAGCCCACGCCAAAGGCAGCCCTGCTGCCCCCAAGTGGCCCTGCCCAGCTACCCTTGTGCCTGTTTCACACCTTGGCCAAGCAGTAGAGCGGGGCTGGGCTCTGGGTAGGTGGTCTCAGTGGAATGCAGAGAAGGACAACCACTAGACCTGTCATTGCAAGGCAGGCTGCTGATGGCCCGGGGAGAGATTTTACAGACCAGAGCTTTGCATTGCTCTGTGTGTCTGGTGCGCGCGTGTGTCTGTGTGTGTATGTGTACACATCTGTGTGTCTGTATATCAGTCTGGTGGAAGAGGGAAGGGGCTAAACAACTGCCAGGTCAAGGTGTTCATATTCTGCTGCATAAATCACCAAGAGCTTTCATTTTTTCCAGCCTTGACACAATCCTTTTTCTAAGTTCTCTCTCATTCATCTCCCATTCCTCCCCCTTTCCATTCTTCTGAGCCTAGAATCTAACTTTAGGAGCAAAGCTAATAGAGTCCCCAAAGTGGCTGCCAAGGGACTGGGCTGGCTCATATGAGTAACGGCTGAGCCTGCAGGCCCAGAGCTCTGGGCGCCCGCTGCCCCACATGGATACCAAGCCGCTCTGCACACCTCCTTCCAGCTCTGCAGCCTCACACGGAGGGGACCCTGAACTGCTGCCCTCATTGCACGCCACCAGAATTTTGTGACTCTCGAAGACCATGAAAGGATGCCAGTTTTCTTGAAGGTATTAAGAGAGATGAAAGGGGGCCGGGGATTTAGCTCAGTGGCGCTGTGGCTGCCTTGTGAGCACAAGGTCCTGAGTTTGATCCCCAGTACCGCCCCAAAAAAAAAAAAAGAGAGAGAGAGATGAAAGGAGTAAATTGGTTTCCAGTGATGCTTCAGGGTCTCAGGTATTTTAAAAGTGTCACAGACTCCTCAGGGGCTGTGGAGTACAAGTGGACAAAGAAATGAAGCCGATTTCATTAGGTGCCTCTCTTAGGGCCCAGAGTGGGCAGAGCAGTGCCGTGGATCCTGTGTTATATCAGGCAAAAGGCAGAAAGCAGCAGCTGTCAAAGACAAAGTCAATGACCTCAAAACCTGCATGGAGGAAGGTGAATACAGCAGCAGTATGAGGGCTTGAAGTTGCCAAGATAGACAAGAAGGACTGATTTGGGTTCCTGGAGGATTGGTCAGTGCTCTTGACTAAGTCACTAGTGGGCTTGGGCTTGAGTTGAGCTAAGCCAACATTTATACTGACCCTAAACTAAAATTAATCTATGCCCCTGAATGCCCTTCTCAATGCTGTACACACGGACACACAGGGATGGTCGGTGACAGAGAAAAGGGTACAACTGTCCAGGAGATGTGGAACGGGACATGGCAGCCAGGGCAAAGGACTGGATGGAGAGTGACACCAGACTTCTTTTATAAGGTTCAGTATGGGGAAGACGCCTAC